ATATGACAGACACTAACAGCCCTAAGCTTCATCAATCACAAACAACTGAGGGTCTGAACAGGAAAACCTTGTCACAGAGCTCTACTTGCTGCATAAGATCAAACCAGTATCTTCAACACGGTTTATCACTAAATAATTCTCGAAAACCTACTTAGATGTATCATTTCAAAAACCATTATATTTACAAACTTCCTGCCGAGGTTAATTTAAAAAGAAAGTCAATTGACTGTAACAGGCAAAAACGTGCTAAACCAAATTAAAAATCAAACTCTATTCAACTAAAGCGCACACACTCAACATCTACTCAAGAATTGAATCGAGTAACAATGTTCTGAAAAACCTGCATGCACAAACTTCGGAAGTAGATTTTATTGTTCCGACTTTCGATACGAAAGTTACGGAATATTTGTGCTCGGGGTGGGTTTTTTTTTCTTCAGACAAATTTCGACTTTTTAACTAGCCATTTTTGACGGAATTTTTTTATATCATTCGAAAGGTATTGTTGTCCTGAGCTCAAATTTGAAAAGATATTTCACCTGTGATCATTTTTCGTAAAGTTACGGGGGTTTAAAGATTGGCATTTTGGCCAATTTGGGACAATTAACGCGCGATATATTTCGCGCTATTAACGCGTGAGCGGAGAGTTAATCCGTGTTGAAAATTGTTCCAAATTGATTCAAATAGCTTATTAGCCATAATTGATTTGTTACAAGGAGCGAGATCTATTTTTTTTGTACTTTATATGGCGTGTGGGGGGATGATTTTCACAAAAAAAAATTCAATTTTTAGAAAAAAAATTTCACTTTATTTTATTTCATTTAATTTTTTCTATGTATTACTGCTGCTCAATAAACCTTAAGAGGCAGTCGGAACATTCAAGGCCTCGCCCTGATACGAGCAATCTTGTTACCTTTTATCCTTTATTGTAAAAATATGAGCAAACATCAATTCGAGAGAATTATCGCGCTTTGTTCGTAAACAATCCGTTCGAATTATCGCGCGTGGGGTCTTAATTTGGCTGAGAAACAATTATAATTTGTTTTGATGCAAATTATTTGGCCTAAGTATTTTGTTAATGGTTACTTAATTGCTTATTACATCACTTTTCAATAACGGGGAAAATTTATGTAGAAAAAAAATTTTCTGTAAAAAAATTTTGTCCATTCACAAGACGTTAAAAAATCAAGGCTCACATGAGTAGTCTTTATGTTGTTTAGTCTTTTCTCACACGCAATGGCAAGTCAAAGGGTTACACTTCACTAGTATAACAAGTTGTGGAAAAATTAGAATGCTTCCATTCAATTCAGAATGATCTTATTTGTCATACGCACCCTTATATTACCTCCAATTTGCAACTTTCAAGCCTGTATAAATTGGCAAAAAAAAGTCGCAGGAGAAATAACCTTTTTATTTCGAGCTTAACACCTGCATACTTTTTAAGCGATACTAAAATCTCGCCGCAAATGGCTATTTGAAAAATCTTATAGTGCCTGGAGATAGAAAAAACTGCCTCGGACTTGAAAAAAAACTTGCCATTTCTTTCGATAGTCGGAACAACAAATGACAGTAATCAGTTTCCTGCATGTTTCCTGTATGTAATTGCTAGCAAAAGTACAAAAATAATATTATATCAACCTCTGTTAGTTTGATTAAAACCTCACTCGTTTGATCAGTAAAAAAAAATAAAAACAAAATAATTTCCAAATTAAATTTAGTACAAACAAACCTGAAAGGTCGTCTAAAGGTAATCGCCCGTCAATTTGACAATTTTGAAAAAAAAATTCACCCTTTCTGAACAGTTTGATTTAAAAAAAGAAATTGTCCGGGTTTTTGACCGAAAAAAAAACACAAGTTTTAATAGCACTATAGGAGCTAAAAATATGTCTAATATAATCAACATTTAAGTTTGTGAACTATCCCTAACAGCAAAAACAAAAAAAGAACTTAAACAAATTCTAAAAGTCTTCAATACAAACTTTGAGTTTGTGCACCATTTTGTTTTGATAGAGCTTATCTGTAGTGATGATACTAAGTTTTCAATTTTTGTCATTTGTCATTGTGATTTGGCTTTTATAATCTATTTTTTTCTCTAACATGACTCCTAGATAATTCTTCCTGAAAAAAAAACAAAGTTTTGCGTCATCTCCATTGATACCAGAAAAATTTCATATTCCTGCTTGGAAAAAGAAAAACTTTGCTTTTCTTTTTGATTAATTTCAACTTATTACAAGCCACCGGCTGAATATATTCATCAAATGTCGAGACATTTTTTGTAACTGGTCATCTATTTAACTGTTAAGAGTGTTAACATCAACAAAAATTGTGAGATCGAAACTTTTGCGAGAATTTAGTAGATCATTTTCATATATCAGAAACAAAAGAGGACCCAAAATCAAAGCCTGTGGAACACCACACTTTATTGGTTTTGAGTCTGACTGATCGTTCTCAACTTGAACATAATGCGTTCTAGTTTCAAAATACGACTTAAGTGAATCTAAATGAATTTGCTAAAACAAACGAACAAGGATTTCTGCAACAAATTGGAGCGATCGACTGTATCACAAGCTTTCTAAAGATCAAAAAACAGCATGCCACTGAAGTTGTTGTGTAGGCAGCAATACAAAAAATTTGAACCAGATTCAAGGATGCATCATTTAGAGGTTTTGACTTTTTATAATATCGGTCTTATAATTAGCGGCAAAGTTATTGGTCTGTTATTTCCGCATTTTTATTTCTCGCTGCATTTGAAAAAAGCTATTACTTCAGAAACTTTGATTTTTTGTCGATAAAATTTAAAAAAAAAACATTTGTTGAAAAAAAAGACAGAACTCACATATAGCTGGAATAAAAATTTCCAACCTAAAAATGCTTAGGTCACTATTACCCTAAGATATTTTCTTTGGAGTTTTTGCTACTGTCTTAAAAACTTCTCAATCATCTGTTGCTTCCAAAACCAATGATTTTTCAAAAACATTACGAAATTTTTTTTACCAGTTCTGGTTATGTTCTTTTGCTAATTGTTTTTGAAGGTCCACAAGAAATCATTTGAGTTAATTGGAAGTATCTCTAATTTGTGCTATCAGTACTTTTAGCAAGAGAAAAAGAGAATTTTTGACTGCCTTTTTGGTTGCTGTATTTTGTTCTCAAAAATTCACGTTTGGTTTTTTCAATTTTTTACAGTGTTTTCTGAAGGGAAAACATCAGGCAAAATTCTGTTCGTCGTTGTTTTCTAGGTTTTGAATTTAAACCATTTCGTTCCTTGACAAATATTCAATAATATTACTTTTTTCTTACAGTTTTCAATTTTACTCAGTTTAAATGAAACTTTTTCTTCAAACAGTTAGTTTTGAATCAAACAAAAAAATTGACAGATTTCATCAAGCGAAAGTTGTGTTGATTCAGTTCTGAATCGAATTAAGCCTATAAATACAGAAAAAATTGAAACTGATTGAATTTCGTTTTTTGTCTAATCGTTTAAAGTTTCTAAACATCTGAAAATACTTAGATTGCTAACTTTCAATGAAATTCAGTAGTTTTGTCGAGAACAAAACACATTGATGATCTGATAGGGAGGTAATTTTGTGCTTCAAACAACCTTTCAAAATTCGAAAGAAAACATCAATCCAGGTAACCATCAATGTGATTTGCTTTGTGTCTAAGTTTGTTAATTTCAACTCTAGACTTTGTCTTAAAAGTTATTTCACTACCATTCAACATTTAGTTATTTTTTTCTGAAAACTGATGTGCAAGTCACTAGCTTTATCATATATTCGTGTAAAACATCTAGAGTCTCAAATGTTCTAGACTTATGGTCAAATGTTTTATACTTATGGTTCATATTTGAACATGGTGGTGTTTTGTTTATTGAAAATCTGTAACTTTTTGATGCACCTTTCTTCTCCATTAAATGTTTGCTGTACCATTCTACTCCTCGAACTTCCCTCTTTGCCAAAACTTGTTAATTGTAGCTTGGAATAGAAAAATACTTTACATAAGTTTCTTTCTCAGAATAGGTCTTAGTTAAGGCAAAAGCTATTGGTATTTAAGGCAAACTACTAACAAAAGCTTCTAAAGCTCGAAAATTACTGTTTAAAGATCTTGTTTTGCGGAAAGATAGATTGAAATTCACGACTTGTGGAGTAAAAATTTAGTTAGCATTCCCAATGGCTATCATGTGAATAAGCCAAAACAAAAATGCAGCCAGACAAAAACTTGTTTCCTACTCTTAAGCTTTCGGTATCCCAAACGGTCATCGGACCTTGATGCGAGAAATAAAGCTTATGATAACCAACATTCAAAATAAATGTTAGCGCATATTGGCAAAAAAAAGCGAAATCAAGTTCAATAATTGCTGTTATTTTCTTTTACCCTGAAGTACAAGATGAAGCTCTCAACGATTCTTACCAATAAAGTAGCACAAATTTGATTCTTATAATACAGTACGGACTAACTGCAAAATAACCACAGAAATCAAAAATCATTCTGCCATTTCTTCTCACATGTAAATGACTATAATTAATAATTTGTAGACATTGCAAGGTACACCATCGATACACCATCGTTCATAACAGCAACTCGTTTTTTTCGTTCAACCGTTCACCAGAATTTTGAAAAAAAAAACGACAAATACAGTCACTTCGGCTTTGTGACACGTCTCAGAAAATAAATCCGCTAAGACTATTACGCCGTTTTATGTGGCGAAAGTCTTTACTAGATTTTTTTTAGCCCCCCGGTCCTAACCAATGTAGGGATATCCTGTGAAGGGTGTGTGTATATTTTTCGGTAGCCGCTCCCGCCTTCGGCGGGATTCGGATGAAATTGGGAACCCTCCGACCGGGACCGAAGTAAAATTCGATCGCACGGCTCTAGTGTTAAGAGCCATGCATATTACCCTCCCAGACACGGCCGACTAGGGGAACTAAATAAGCAGAATATAGGAAGGTTACCTGTGTACAAAAAGGTACATTGCAGTGGCCTGCGTAAAATGATAAAATACTCACCATGTGTGATTCCCGTGGACAAAATCCAAGTGTTCGTTGATTGGACAGTCCTCAGCAGTCCCTGCTTCAGCCTCAGTAGTTGTCTGGGCGGAACGATTGGCATGTTGTTGCTCCACCCACTCACCGATATTATCAACTTGGGCGTCTCCAGTTTCCATTCTTTGAAAAACTTGTCACATATCGTTGCTGACGAGGTTCCCTCAGGGGCGACAAGAAAATCGGCCAACTTCTCAAAGTTATCACTTTCGTCTACGAAATTAATTCGTCGCATTTCGGCTTTGTTAAATAGTGATTCTACTGTGATATCTGCAAAAAGGTGAGGTAATAACCTTCGGTAACCCGGAGGAGTTGAGGCAAAATGATCGTTGCCGCCAAGGCGCACGGAGCTGAGTCGACTTAGGAGTCGTATTGACTCGGCCCTCGATCCTGGTCTCGGAGTTACAGACTGACTTCGAAAATCTGGGGTTTCGGCCCTATCAAATGAGAGATTGTTTTGGACTACAGGGTAGTTTATTTCAGGGGTACTGGCTTCGTTATTGCTGTTTTCAGCCGGCTGAATTTCAGCAGCTTGGGTATCCTCCGTGCTACTTTTATCCTGACTAGATTTGGTATTGTTTTTCAAAGCTTCACAGCCTGTTACTTGATTATCCGGGTAATTTGGTTGAGCGAGAATTGATTGTGATTTAACAATGGAATCAGCATTACTGTCATTTGTAATTTCATTACCACTGGGCGATGAAGTAGGCGAGCCTGGTGATAGATTTTGCTGGTCTAACTGGTTTGTTATGGCACTCTTTTCATCATAACTATCATAACTACTTGGAGCACAATTTTGTTCCGTAGTTGGCGGAAGTTGTGTCGTTATGTGTTTTGTGCCAGGACCACTGGTGGTATTATTATCCCTATTTCGATACCCATCATGATGAGGCTTTTCATCCCCTGTGGGTTGGTTGTTCACATTTATGTCCGCGGGCTTGTTTGTGATTTGGTCCGGTGAATCTGAATTGGAATAACAGTCAACGGGGTTAGTAATACTGCATTTGTTTTCAATGATGGCGCCAATATCTTTCTGACTTTTTCTGGTATTATTGCTATCATTCGTACCATCACCTTCTAACTGTTGTTTTTTGCTGTCTAAATATGGTGACTTGTTTTGGTTGTTGTTGTTGATGTTGTTGATATTTACGCCCTTGTTTTCCCCATTAGCAAGTTCACTTTCGCTACCTTTTTTCCTCCCCCGTGGCGACGGTTGTTGCAAGCCAGCTCTGGTTAATTCAATGTCCCGCGTTGGATCTCGCGTGGCGTTTCCGCCGGTTCCCCCTCCTCCCCCTTGGTGGTTAGAATTTAATGACCCGTTGCTATCACCGGTCGATTTTTGATTAACACTGTTTGGATTATTTATCAAACTTTTATTCCCGCGGTGAACCTCCGCTTTATCTTTTTCTCCCCTTTCGATGTACCGTGCTTCCCCGATCGGCGAATTTTGGTTGCTCCTCTGCGCTGGAATCATGTCTAACTACACCCTATAAGTTGAGTAATGCAATTCAAATTTGCATGTCAATGGTTGGAAAATGTAAATTTCTTTGCAACCTATCTTGCGTGATTGATTCCGGGATATGATCAATTTTAACTTTCATACAAAAATCACATTCGTATTCCTGACTTTATTGTTGTTTTCTTCTCTTTTTGATATCCGCCCTTTGATTTCACGTATTCCCAGAACACGCAATCTCATTTAACAATGCTTGTATTTCGTAATAAAATCAGGAAGATTGCAACAGGATTGAAGAAATCTCTATTTAATTTAGCTTCCCAATGGAGACGAGTCGCGCTTCAAAAGATTTGAAGAATGATAAAAAAAATAAGAATAGAAATAAATTTGACTTGGGTTCACTTGAGAGATGGGCATCGAAATTTTAACCATATCAATATAACGATTGTCACAATTTAGAGAGGCGTAAATCAGTCAGGAATTGAAAAACGAATTTCAGCATAGTAATAGAGATAATCATGCAATGGTCCATTTTCTGAATCCTGTAATTCTCTTTATTTAAGAGACTTAAGAATGAGTTCTGAAATTTGAGTTAAAAATGGATCTTCGCAGACAATAATAGTCTACATCAAAAACTGTGTGAAGAGAAAAGATGCACAATTGCGAATCACTGACCACTTTATCAAAGAATTACATTAAACTAAGCAGCGAAAGGTGCATTGATGATTTATTTTCAAATTGATTTTTTTTTTCAATGGAGCAAACCCTTTTTTGTTTCAGCCCAAATTTAAAAAAAAAAGATTCCCGGAAAAACATTAAGCCAAAACGTACTCGAAAACTTCCGATTATAATGGCTGGAAACCTTTATTACTGTGTGAATGAACGCGTTTTCTTCCGATCACATCACTTTTTACCAGCCGATTTTGGCTACCTCAAATAAACTCTGGAGGGGTTCGAGTGTGGTATCACAATAAAGAATTTTCAGCCGTTATCCGGAACGTTAAAAAATCAATAATGTTGTCGGAGTTCCAGCCTAATTATCAGTCTGAAGTTTCCGAGTGAATTTCTGATCAATATATTCCTCGATTTTTGAAAAAGTTATGATATTAACACTTTTTCTTGTAATAGCTTCTGGTAATAGCATCATTTTTCTCTCCTTGTACCTCTTACAACTTGAAATTTAGCTAAAAAATTTTGAGACAATCGAAAAAGAAATTTAAAATATTTAACTTTCTTCCCCAATTTACAAATTTCAGAAGAAAATAAGCGTGGTTAGAACATTCTGTCTTACTTGCACTCTAGCCAACTAGCATTGATAGTACTTGATGTTTGTATCTCCGATTCAAATTATCCAATTTCAAATCAGGTAGCCAAGAGTATTCAAGCATCGACAAAATACCTCGCAGAGTGATTTTTACCCAAAAAAAAAACAACAAAAATTGGACTTTGAAACCATGCATGAAAAATCATGTGACTCAAAAGAAACTAAATGGACAAAAATCATGTTCTTACCATTTTAATTATTTTGTTTTCAAACTAGCCGTCGATAGTAAAGTAGCCATAGCAGCGAAATGAAAGACACACATAGCAAAATTTTTTATCAACTTCCGTTGATTTTGTGCATTGCGAGTCAATTAAAACAAATAAAAGTCGCAGTGAGATACTTGGTCACATGAAAAACCCGAAATCAAAATCACTAACAGAGATATTCTAATTTCGGATCCAACTTGGTCAGTTTACAACCCTGAAACACGAATAGTCAGTAAAAAATTGTCCAATGCACGCAAACAAAATAAGTCGATACAAACTTCGCAGAGAACTATCGCAAAAAAATTCCACCTCAAAACTTCGATTGAAAACCTTCCTATTGGTGCTTCTTTTAACATTTATCTTAAAATCTTTACCCAGACGCCAGTTGAACTGAAAACAAAAAAGAAGCCAAGAAATTTTTGAGCGATAGATTTTTAAAACCTCCCGGAAACACGGAAGGATGAAACCAACTTTTCTTTCCAACAATTCATATTTAGGACACTGAGCTGATAAGATAAAACATGAAACCACAGGACCGAATCAACCTTTAAGCGAAAAAAAAAAAACAAAATCAAAGTTTCAACTCAAACGTAGAAATGTGGAAACACAAATTAAAAAGTAAAAGGGAGGCAGCAAGTTGGCAAAAATACGCGTTAAAAACTATATTTACAAAAATTTCATATTTTTGAATCAATATTAAGTATGATTTCAGAAAAAAAAATCCGAGAAACAAATTCGACGGCATTATTTAATTCAACAAAAGTAGAAAGAAAGTTGAAAGAAGGAAAACCGAAAGACCGAAGGTTGCAGGCTGTAGAATTAGAGGCGGCTGTAGAGGAATATATTCACCCTGGAAATGAACCAAACGCTTACCAGTGCCCACAGTACCCAAGGTGTTACAAGCTGGAGAAGAAATTACAAATTCAAGAAAAACAAGTTTCAAATGGAATCGATCTCCCTGTTTTTGACGTCTCAAGCACGGTAAGCACAAAAAGTCTAGTTTGCAAAAAAGCTGTTATTTTACCACATCAAGCAGTTGTTTTACCTCTATGCCAGAAGAGCAGGCTGGTTGATTGGATTTGAACTTATTATTACCAAGCGGTAACAAAGACGAAAAAACCTGAGCAGAAACCCTTCATGTCGAAAAGAAATTCAGAAAAATTCTGAACATAAAAAAAATGTCGTCCCTTTTCCGGTCAATGCACAGAAACGCGCAAAAAATTTTTTTTCGGACGTAACGACGCAACAGGAGGCCACTGGGTTGATAGTAATTAGGCCGAAATGTATTAAGCCGATAAAAAAATCGAAAAAAGGGAAAAAAATGAAACTTTAACAAAACGACCTGGTTAAATTGCAACCAATGTAAGAAGAAATTTTTATTCGGCCGGATTTTTAAAATGCTAAAAACAACTGCAGTTAAAACTGTTTACAGCTAAAACATACTATTTTTAGATGTGACAACTAAGCCGACATAACAAAAGCAGACAAATAATTCAACGAAATTTTTTTGAACCGCAACAATTACCGTTTAAAAAAACTTGTCTTGGCCAGATTTGAACCCAAAACCTTTGCCGTCCCAGGCGTATTTGTTAACACCAGGCTGAGCGTCTAAGAGACAGTTGAAATTTTCAGATCATCATGAATTACGGTACCACCAGTTCAATGAGCCCAATGAGTCCTGTTGACAAAATTGTTTGCGATGAAAAAGTCTAGTACCCAATTGCAATACCATTGCTATTGCAAAAGTAAATAGAGTTTTAAGTGACAGCTATCTTCCATCTTCATCGAAAAATATCAACATAAAATGACTTATTGTCTGAAGTTGGTACTCATTTGAGAAGCGACTAATATCGAAATTGAGCTGTGTAAAACATTAAATGAAAAGATTTTTAGCACAAAGGCAAAGCAGAACTTTGTACGACTTACAACATCAAAAAAAATGCAATTTCATAATAACCAATTCTACAAAATGTCCTAATTATGTCTCAAATGATGCGCAACACGTCCAGCACTACAACTGCCAAAATTTTGAACCAGTTTTCAAAAACGATTGCCGAGCGGCATTTAGCCGGAAAAAAAGTTGTCAGGTAAAACTTTGGGCAATATGAATCTGAAAGTCAACAATTTACGGCCCCGAATCTGTTTTTCCTTCCGTACGACGCAACATTAGGTCACTAAGTCAATAAAATTTAACCTGAAACAATTGAGGTCATATGAACTTTAAAAAAATTAAAGCAAGATAATTACCAAAAACAGAACTAGTTAGGTTAAAATTTAGAGAAATAAATCGAAAACATTTAAAATTGTACTTCTCATCACGCCAAATTTTTTTTTGTAAATGAGAGCTTCTGCGTTTGAAAAAGAAACAACAGTTTCTGTTAGATTCGAACCTAGGATCTTTTACCGGTCCCGGGCGCAGTTTGTTAATTCCACGTCAAGGATTTTGATAATATCGAGTATTTTATTGAGCTGTGACGTCCTAAGCACGGTGGTTACAGCAACAAGCAATACAGCTGAACCACGATAATCCGAAAAAGCACAAAAAGTCTAGTTTGCAAAAAAGCAGTTATTTTATCGCATCAAGCAGTTGTTTTATCTCTATGCCAGATGAGCCAGATGGTTGATTGGATTTGAATTTATTATTACTAAGCGGTAAAAAAGACGACAAAAAACCTGAGCAGAAACCCTTCCTGTCGAAAAGAAATTCAAAAAAATTCTAAACATAAAAAAAATGTCAATTCCTTTTTCCGGTCAGAGCACAGAAACGCGAACAAAAGCTTTTTTCGGACGTAACGACGCAACCGGAGGCCACTAGGTTGATAGTAATTAGGCCAAAATTTATTAAGCCGATAAAAATAGTTTTAAAAAAAACGAAAAAAACGACATGGTTAAATTACAACCAATGTGAGAAGAAATTTTTTTCGGCCGGAATTTTGAAATGCTGAAAAGAACGCAGTTAAAACTGTTTACAGCTAAACAAACTATTCTTAGATGTGACAACTAAGCCGACATAACATAGGCAGACAAATTATTAGCCGAAATTTTTTGGAACCGCAACAATTACCGTTTAAAAAAATTTGTCTTGGCCAGATTCGAGCCCAGAACCTTTGCCGTTCCAGGCGTATTTATTAACACCAGGCTGAGCGTCTAAGAGACACTAGAAATTTTGAGACCATTATGAATTACGGTACCACCAGTTCAACGAGCCCAATGAGTCCTGTTGACAAAATTGTTTACGATGAAAAAGTCTAGTACCCAATTGCAATACCTTTGCTATCGCAAAGGTAAATAGAGTTTTGAGTGACAGCTATCTTCCATCTTCATCAAAAAAAATCAACATAAAATGACTAATTGTCTGAAGTTGGTACTCATTTGAGAGGCGACTTATATCGAAATTGAGCTGTGTAAAACAATAAATGAAAAGATTTTTAGCACAAAGGCAAAGCAGAGTTCTTTGTACGACTTACAACATCAAACAAACAAACAAAAAATTACTAGCTGACTGACAGAAAAAAAGCCTCAAGTCGAAAAAATGCAATTTCAAAACAAATAATTTTACAAAATGTCCTAATTATGTCTCAAATGATTCGCAACACGTCCAGCACTACAACTGATAAATTTTTGAACCAGTTTTCAAAAACGATTGTCGAGCGGCATTTAGCCGGAAAAAAAGTTGTCAGGTAAAACTTTGGGCAATATGAATCTGAAAGTCTACAATTTACGGCCCCGAATCTATTTTTCCTTCCGTACGACGCAACATTAGGTCACTAAGTCAATAAAATTTAACCTGAAACAATTGAGGTCATATGAACTTTAAAAAAAATTAAAGCAAGATAATTACCAAAAACAGAACTAGTTAGGTTAAAATTTAGAGAAATAAATCGAAAACATTTAAAATTATACTTCTCATCACGCCAAATTTTTTTTTGTAAATGAGAGCTTCTGCGTTTGAAAAAGAAACAACAGTTTCTGTTAGATTCGAACCTAGGATCTTTTACCGTCCCGGGCGCAGTTTGTTAATTCCACGTCAAGGATTTTGATAATATCGAGTATTTTATTGAGCTGTGACGTCCTAAGCACGGTGGTTACAGCAACAAGCAATACAGCTGAACCACGATAATCCGAAAAAGCACAAAAAGTCTAGTTTGCAAAAAAGCAGTTATTTTATCGCATCAAGCAGTTGTTTTATCTCTATGCCAGATGAGCCAGATGGTTGATTGGATTTGAATTTATTATTACTAAGCGGTAAAAAAGACGACGAAAAACCTGAGCAGAAACCCTTCATGTCGAAAAGAAATTCAAAAAAATTCTAAACATAAAAAAAAATGTCAATTCCTTTTTCCGGTCAGAGCACAGAAACGCGAACAAAAGCTTTTTTCGGACGTAACGACGCAACCGGAGGCCACTAGGTTGATAGTAATTAGGCCGAAATTTATTAAGCCGATAAAAATAGTTTTAAAAAAAACGAAAAAAAAAACGACATGGTTAAATTACAACCAATGTGAGAAGAAATTTTTTTCGGCCGGAATTTTGAAATGCTGAAAAGAACGCAGTTAAAACTGTTTACAGCTAAACAAACTATTCTTAGATGTGACAACTAAGCCGACATAACATAGGCAGACAAATTATTAGCCGAAATTTTTTGGAACCGCAACAATTACCGTTTAAAAAAATTTGTCTTGGCCAGATTCGAACCCAGAACCTTTGCCGTTCCAGGCGTATTTATTAACACCAGGCTGAGCGTCTAAGAGACACTAGAAATTTCGAGACCATTATGAATTACGGTACCACCAGTTCAATGAGCCCAATGAGTCCTGTTGACAAAATTGTTTACGATGAAAAAGTCTAGTACCCAATTGCAATACCTTTGCTATCGCAAAGGTAAATAGAGTTTTGAGTGACAGCTATCTTCCATCTTCATCAAAAATTATCAACATAAAATGACTAATTGTCTGAAGTTGGTACTCATTTGAGAGGCGACTTATTTCGAAATTGAGCTGTGTAAAACAATAAATGAAAAGATTTTTAGCACAAAGGCAAAGCAGAGTTCTTTGTACGACTTACAACATCAAACAAACAAAAAATTACTAGCTGACTGACAGAAAAAAAGCCTCAAGTCGAAAAAATGCAATTTCAAAACAAATAATTTTACAAAATGTCCTAATTATGTCTCAAATGATTCGCAACACGTCCAGCACTACAACTGATAAAATTTTGAACCAGTTTTCAAAAACGATTGTCGAGCGGCATTTAGCCGGAAAAAAATTGTCATGTAAATCTTTGGGCAATATGAATCAGAAATTCTACAATTTACGGCCCCCAATCTGTTTTTCCTTCCATACGACGCAACATTAGGTCACTAAGTCAATAAAATTTAACCTGAAACAATTGAGGTCATATGAACTTTAAAAAAAATTAAAGCAAGATAATTACCAAAAACAGAACTAGTTAGGTTAAAATTTAGAGAAATAAATCGAAAACATTTAAAATTATACTTCTCATCACGCCAATTTTTTTTTTTGTAAATGAGAGCTTCTGCGTTTGAAAAAGAAACAACAGTTTCTGTTAGATTCGAACCTAGGATCTTTTACCGTCCCGGGCGCAGTTTGTTAATTCCACGTCAAGGATTTTGATAATATCGAGTATTTTATTAAGCTGTGACGTCCTAAGCACGGTGGTTACAGCAACATGCAATACAGCTGAACCACGATAATCCGAAAAAGCACAAAAAGTCTAGTTTGCAAAAAAGCAGTTATTTTACCGCATCAAGCAGTTGTTTTATCTCTATGCCAGATGAGCCAGATGGTTGATTGGATTTGAATTTATTATTACCAAGCGGTAAAAAAGACAAAAAAAAACCTGAGCAGAAACCCTTCATGTCGAAAAGAAATTCAGACAAATTCTAAATATAAAAAAAATGTCAATTCCCTTTTCCGGTCAGAGCACAGAAACGCGCAAAAAAGCTTTTTTCGGACGTAACGACGCAACCGGAGGCCACTAGGTTGATAGTAATTAGGCCGAAATTTATTAAGTCGATAAAAATAGTTAAAAAAAACGAAAAAAAAAACGACATGGTTCAATTACAACCAATGTGAGAAGAAATTTTCATTCGGCCGGAATTTTGAAATGCTGAAAAGAACGCAGTTAAAACTGTTTACAGCTAAAACAAACTATTCTTAGATGTGACAACTAAGCCGACATAACATAGGCAGACAAATTATTAGCCGACATTTTTTGGAACCGCAACAATTACCGTTTAAAAAAATTTGTCTTGGCCAGATTCGAACCCAGAACCTTTGC